CATAAGCTTTCTTAATTATAAGAAAGGCATTTTCAAATTTCAGTCTATTGCTACTGTCGACTTAATCGTCTTATAATGCTTAGACATTTTCAAATTTTGACGTGTAGAACCGTCAAGATATTTATCTATGTTGTCTAGTAGTTTTCAATCGTTGGTGAGGACATCGTCTTGGAATCTGTGGGTTTTATCCAGCAATTGCAAGTAAATGTCGTTCTAACCTTTTGATGGGTATTGTCGACAGATATCTGTAAAAATAAAGAATTGCAATTTTATGTTTGTGTCGTGAAAGTTCATATCATTTAATTTTGGTTAAAGATTTTCTGAAGTCCAGGAGTCTTATGAATCAAGTGTCATTCTACTGCAGGATTATCTCATTCTAGGTGATACTGGAGTAGTTTGGGTTCGTCTCCCGATCCCACTGCATTTTTTATGTTATTGATTTGTGATCGAATTAACTCGATCGCACATAGACTCTCTGATTCTAATATATTTATAGATCCCGATTGTAAATATGCTGGATCCATGATCGCACGTCACCAGTCATGTCACGAACCTGTTGAGCGATATGAAATTTAGAGTATCACTGTATATTACATGTACCTTGTTTAAATACCAATCATCCAACGGACCGTTTTTGCGAGTGCGAACTTTCAATTCAGTGATGGGATTCATGTTGGCAAACTGCAAATTAAATGGCTCGACGCTAGAAAAGAAAAAAATCCATTTTAGAAGGTTAGATAGTATATAAAACATCACTACTATAGTCACTAATGGGGCCATTTACAGTATGTCCTCGCACACGGCTGCCTTCGAGAATAGATGTACTATCGAAACAGGTAAAATGATAGCTTGGCCTAAGAAAACGTACTTGTCTGACAATCTTGAGCTAAAATAATCATTAAGATAGAGCAATACACTAAAAAGAAAGGAATCGGATTTTTAGTTTCTTGGAAACCAAAAAACGTTTTTTTGCATAACCTGATGGCATCGAGCTCCGCCGAACCCCTAACATACTCCGCCCCGCCACTGACGATAGATATTGACATGTTTCTAATTTGAGAGCAACGGTTGCATTCGTCTGAAGGCTGGCATTGAAAGAAAAAGGCAAAGAGCTCCAGGAGGCCTCCAACCTTATTGCAATGTTATCGACATGAAACACTATTTACTTACCCATTATTGTCTAATTTTCTTTTTGATATTTACTTACTCTCTTTTCTCAAACTTTCCTGGCAAATTGAATTCAGTGGTTGTCAGTGTTTGGCTCATCTGTTTACCGGTCACGGCAATCCATACAGTAGCATCAGTTCCAGTACCCCACTTATTGCCTGTGTAGACTGTGATCACATACTTCACTATTGTTAGACTACGTCTCCCTGACATTTAGTTAATACAATGTTAATATGTTAATAGTAGATTTCAGTTAAGTGATTCGTCAGCAGTTTTATAGTTTGGTCTAGAAATTGAAATATGCCAAGTCATGTACTTGTAGTTTTAGATTACCAGTAAAAATAGTTTGAATTACCAGTAACTTTAATGTCCAGCAAATTTTATGTTGTAGGGTTAGAATCAATATTGAATTTATAGAATGATTGCGAAATGTTTAAATATCATTATTATTATATTTTCATAAGTAATTATTTTAGTTTAAGTTTATGACGCAGTTGAAATAATGTTCACATGATCAATATTTGTAGCATAAGCCAAGGTCGTCATAAACGGGGAATTCCCTTCAGTGTGGAACTATGCCATAATTGGTTATTGTTTTAGTTAATATCAAATTATTATTTGGGTTTTGTCTAATTCTGTAAAACATATATCAAGCAATGTAACGAGTAGTAGTTAGTTAGTCAGTCCAGTTAGTCAGTCCAGAGCGTCAAACAAGCATGTAGTAATAAAGAAAAGAACAAGAACAAACTAAGAGGAACGTTTTCACTGCCGCGACGGTCCCTTGTGGTCCAACACTATCCATCATAAAAATAAAATTAGACAAATCGAAATTCTAAAGCAAAAATCTAAAGCACTCGCATCATGCTTATACGATTATGCCAGACAAATGATTTCATGATATATCTTAATTAAATGACCACAAATGATGCAACGAAATTTAGACCGCGTGTGCTTTCTCCAATGATTACTTACCTTTTTGGCAACGTTTTCCACTGAATCCATTCCTGCACTTGCATTTATAGTCTTGTCTGTCGTTCTGTAAGCTACATTCACCGCCGTTTTGGCATGGCTTGGCCTCGCACGGATTCTAGAACAACAAGTTATAGTTATTCACAGCACACGGTATTGAAATCGGTGTTCTTGAATGTTCTTCTCGTTCTTCTTGTTCTGGGCTTGTCCTTCTTGTCCTTCTTGTCCTTCTTGTCCTTCTTGTCCTTCTTGT